ACTTGTCTGCGGACAAGCTGTCCCCTCGTGCTGCTCCCTGTGTCTTCCTCGGCTTCCCCCCTGACGCCCCAGGGTAGCAGTTCTACCACCCCTCCTCTCGTCGTGTTCTGTCCTCCCAGGACGTCACGTTCGACGAGTCAGTCCCCTTCTACCGCCTCTTCCCCTACCGCTCTCCTTCCCTCCCCCCGCCACCGCACTTCCTTGTGCCAGGTCCCCCCCCGGTAGACCCCCTTCCCCCTCAGGGTCCTGCCCCTTCAGGTGTGTCCCAGGTAGACGCAGTCGAGCCGGTCGAGGTTGCTGGTGACTCTGGTCCTGCTGCGGGTGCTGAGCCTGGGGGTGCTGACTCTGGGGGTGCTACGCGCGTGGGTGCTGAGCCTGGGGGTGCTGAGCCTGGGGGTGCTGAGTCTGGGGGTACTGAGCCTGGGGGTACTGCGACTGGGGGTGCTGAGCCTGGGGGTGCGGAGTCTGGGGGTGCTGAGCCTGGGGGTGCTGCGACTGGGGGTGCTGAGCCAGGGGGTGCTGCGTCTGGAGCTGCTGAGCCTGGAGCTGCGGAGCCTGCGGCCACTGGACCTCCCCTTGTGGCGTCTGGCGGTGCGGGACCTGGCGGTTCTCCGGGTGCTTCGCCTCGGCGGGAGCCCCTCTCTCCACAGGAGCTGCGCGAGTGGTTTGCTCGCCGCTGGAGACGTACTGCTGGAGCCGGAGCTCCTTCGACTGCTGAAGGTACTTGTGCCGCTGGTCCCGGAGCTGCTGGGCCTTCGGGTCCGCCTGGAGCTGGAGCTGCTGCGGGTGTTGGTGCTGCTGGTGCTGCTGGAGGTCCTGCCCCTGGAGGTGCTGTTGGCGCTGGTGCTGCTGCTGAGGGTGCTGTCCCTGCTGTGTCTGGAGTCGCCGCGCGGCCTCGGCCGTACTTCGTTCCACTCCTACAGCAGGTTCTTGGTCTTTCTCCTCCTGCAGCGTGTCCACCGCCTGTTCAGTCACAGTCCCAGCTAGAGCCCGCCTCCCCACTTCCTGCTCCCTCTCCTTACACTGGTCCCACTGGAGGTCTTGCTGAGCGTCGTGAGCCTGCGTCTCGTCCTGCGTCGCCTGTTCGTGCTGCTCGCCCTAGTGGTCGCGGTTCGCGTCAGCGTCCTCCTCCTGTCCCTGGCACGCACCGGATGTCTTTGCGTCCGTCCACTGCTCCTCTGCGTGCCCCTTTGCCTTCTCCTCCTGAGTCCTCTCTTCCTGCACTTACCGACCCAGAGTCCGACTCTCTTCGTGCTACCAGTCCTACTGTCACACGTCTCCTTGCTACTGTCGTCACTGACCCCTCTTTTGAGTCCACTGCTGCGTCTGCTCTTGTTGCTGAGCTCGTCGACTTTGCTGCTCGCTGTCGTCTAGACTACGCTGCCGGTCTTGTTGCTGAGTCTGCGTCTGTCTGTCCTCCGTCCGTCGGGGGTGAGTGTGCTCTTGGCACGGACGTCCTTGAGGACAGGCAGGAGGAGTTCCAGTGTCTGGCTGCTGCTTCACCTCATCTCGCGTCCGTACTACTTGCCCCTGAGGGAGACCCGGATGCACTAGACATCCCGACTCCGCGCTCTTACGCGGAGGCCGTAGAGGGTCCCTACTCCTCTCAGTGGCAGGCAGCTATGGATGCAGAGATGGCGTCCTGGAAGTCCACAGGCACCTACGTTGACGCGGTTCCCCCTCCTGGGGCGAACATCGTCAGTGGCATGTGGATCTTCAGGGTGAAGCGGCCGCCGGGCTCTCCACCTGTCTTCAAGGCGCGGTACGTCGCTCGTGGCTTCAGTCAGCGGCAGGGAGTTGACTACTTTCAGACCTTCTCTCCCACCCCGAAGATGACCACTCTTCGGGTACTGCTGCACATAGCCGCTCAGCGCGACTACGAGCTCCACTCTCTTGACTTCAGCACTGCTTTCTTGCAGGGTAGCCTGCACGAGGAGATCTGGCTGCGCCGTCCACCTGGCTTCACTGGGACTTTCCCGCCTGGCACCCAGTGGAGCCTCCGACGGCCAGTCTACGGTCTCCGCCAGGCACCGCGTGAGTGGCACGACACACTGAGGACTACGCTTGCGGCTCTTGGGTTTGCTCCCTCTACTGCTGACCCGTCGTTGTTTCTGCGCACCGACACTTCTTTGCCGCCGTTCTACATCCTCGTGTACGTCGACGACTTGGTCTTTGCCACAGCTGACACTGCTGGACTAGCCTACGTGAAGTCCGAGCTGCAGAAGAGACACACGTGCACAGACCTGGGTGAACTGCGCAGCTACCTTGGCTTGCAGATCACTCGGGACAGAGCACGCCGCACCATTACCTTGACTCAGTCACACATGGTGCAGCAGGTCCTTCAGCGCTTCGGCTTCACGTACTCCTCGCCTCAGGCCACTCCTCTGTCTACTCGCCACTCGCTCTCAGCTCTGCCTTCGGATGAGTCCGTAGAGTCGAGTGGCCCGTACCCAGAGCTTGTTGGTTGCCTCATGTACCTGATGACCTGCACACGACCTGACCTTGCATACCCTCTTAGCATTCTTGCACGCTATGTTGCTCCTGGGAGACACCGACCAGAGCACATGGCTGCAGCGAAGAGGGTGTTGCGCTACTTGTGCAGTACGTCGGGCATGGGGCTAGTACTTGGAGGGCGGAGTCCAGTGGTGCTCACTGGGCACGCGGACGCTTCTTGGGCTGACGACCAGGCTACGCAGCGGTCGTCGCAGGGTTACACCTTCAGTCTTGGTTCCGGCTCTGTCTCGTGGCGGGCTACTCGCTCGTCCTCTGTTCTCGGCTCCAGTTGTGAGGCTGAGATCTACGCCGGGACCATGGCTGCACAGGAGCTTCGCTGGCTCACCTACCTGCTGACTGACCTTGGAGAGCCGCCTCGTTCTCCTCCAGTGCTGTACGTAGACAACAAGGCCATGCTGGCCTTGTGTCGAGAGCAGCGCTTGGAGCACAGAACGAAGCACATTGCTCTCCGTTACTTTCTTGCTCGTGAGCTGCAGCAGCGTGGTCAGTTGCGACTTGCGTACGTGGCCTCTGAGGCCAACACTGCTGATGTGTTCACCAAGGCACTTCCGCCTTGTGACCATCAGCGCTTCTGCACTCAGCTGGGTCTTGTACCTGTCTTGCCTCACTTGCTCTCCTCTTGACCTTGCTTGTACTGTCACATATATATACCTGCTCTTGCTTGTCTAGCTCTATATATATATGTGCACTCTTGCATGTGAACTGGCCTTGTGGCCTTGTCGTTGTGCTCGGACTGTGTGGTGACTTTGTGATCCACCCTGAGCTTGCTGTTCTTTGCGTGACTGGTCTTGTGACCCCTTGTTCTCCCCCACTTTGCCTATGGGGGTGTGTCAGAACATATATATAGCTTATGCTGTTGTGTAGGCTATAGTGGGGTATCCCATAGGGGGTACAACCCAATTAGGGTTTCCTATATGTACTCACTTCATTCATAGTTCATCCATTCTCGTTCTCATTGTCACAACCTAAGTTAATCGGCTACGTCAACGCCGATCACGCTGGAGACTCCGAGAACAGACGATCTTGAACTGGCTACATCTACCGACTTGAACCTATCGGCCCTATCTCATGGCAGTCGAACAAGCAAGAGCTAATCGCTCTCTCCTCATCTGAAGCAGAATACATCGCACTCTGCTCAGCCACCAAGGAAGGACTATATCTTCGCAAATTGCTGGAAGAAGCAAAATTGGCTCAGTTGCCCAGCTTCTCCCTCTTCTGCGACAATCAATCGGCCATTCGCATAGCAAACAAAAATGGGTTCGCGAATCGAACGAAGCACATCGCCCTCCGGTACTTCTTCGTAAAAGACGAAATCAAGAAGGGAAGACTCGAGTTATCTTACTGTCCCACATCCGAGATGGCAGCCGATTACTTGAACAAGAAACTCGGAAAACATAAGTTCGAGTCCTGCATGCTGCTGAATGGACAAGGACACGTCATCAGTAGCGGCATTCCATAAGCGAAGGGGAGTGTTGGAAACAAATAACATAACGGTAATCGAAGCATCGACACGAAACGGAGCAGACTACAAGCGAAACAACACGCGAGTCAACAAAAGCAACCGCTGGAGGTTACGCGAAGGTCAAAGGTCGCTGACCTTTGACCTGACGAAAAATGCAATGTGACAGCAAGGATACATAACTGACTCGATACTGAGCAGTTACCTGAGTCGTCACTGTATCGAACCGCAACAGAAGAAACAGTTAAATTAGAATCTTTCATAATCCTCTGTAATCATATAAAAGCTTTGTATTCCCCTGCTATCATCAACTTATCTTGTTCTCACATACCAGTACAAGGTGGTTCAGCAAACTCTTCACTTACGCTTCCGCAATTACAACATTTCTACTCCAACAAGATCTTAGTCTTCAAAAATCCTAAGGGCTATATTTTTTAGCCCAACACTCGCAACTCTGAGCATCCTCTCAAGTATTGAACCCACGCCTCCCGCGTTCCTACGAAAGTGATAAAAGTTGTGCTACCCGCCCGATGAGAATGTGGAGACGCATATGTATTGATCTGATGCCGCCAGCCATTATTTACTTGCAATCTAGGGGGGGCTCGGTCTAAATGCCTGTACCCTGTACAGAGAAGAATGCATTCGCCAGGGATTTACTCTGGTCTATCAGAGTAGCTAAAAACAAAACCCTGGCAAATCAAAGAAAACTTATCTTCCAGAAAAATTACCCAGAAACATCAGAGTGACCCCCCAAAAACCACTGAGTTTCAGAGAATCAGAATAATTTACTCTGATAAAAAAACCCCTGCGTGCAAGGATGTTCTTCACTTAATTCCTTATCGTAACAACATATAATCACAGCCACCATACGAAATTCCATATGGGACAAAGAGTAACACAAAGAGAATCAATATCTTAGTCACACTTAACAAAATCAGCATCGGTTCAATCAAATTGAGCAAAGGCTAACAAGTGAGTCTGGATAAAGCAATGTTGCATATTCATCATTAGATGTTAGCATCTCATCTTACGGTAAGCACAGTTGCATGCCCACCCACAACGACGACACAGTACAGTCATACCCCCCATTGAGTGATCGAAAGAGGTTCACTTTCTTCTTGTATCGAGACGCAATCAGCTTGCCGCAGGTATCCCCTCTCTTCACCAAGTAAAACCGGCTTGTCTCGCACGGCATCCCTCCAGAACCCGGCCGCTCATCCACCATCATGCACACCTGGTGTGAGCGGTCGAACCACAATTTGAAACAAATCTCAGAAATCAGTTTGCCACGCGCGCCATGTCTAAATGCAATACTCCGCAATCCAACCATGAAGATACTGCTACAAGCAGTCCCAAAGTGCGACAACACCATCGGACCCGTGAACAAATCCATAACACCCATGTTCATTGTGAAGTGCAAGCCCTTGCACGGCCTGCACGAGTCCTTGCACGTAAGGCAAACAGCACATGCGTATGGAGTCAAACAGCACATGCGTATGGAGTCAAACAGCACATGCGTATGGAGTCAAACAGCACATGCGTATGGAGTCAAACAGCACATGCGTAATGGAGTCAAACAGCACATGCGTATGGAGGCAAACAGCACATGCGTATGGAGTCAAACAGCACATGCGTATGGAGGCAAACAGCACATGCGTATGGAGTCAAACAGCACATGCGTATGGAGGCAAACAGCACATGCGTATGGAGGCAAACAGCACATACCCGAGTGAGAACAGAAAGTCCAGCCGACAGCCCCGGGCAGCAGATGGCCTTAACACAGAGAAGCGTCGAGTTGAAAAAGGTTTGCAAAGCCCACATCATGTGATTGCCACGTGAGATTTAGACTCACCGTATCACAAACAGAGTCGTCCCATCCAGCAGCACCGGGCAGCAGTTGGTCGCAGTAGAGGGCAGGGTTGATGCGGAAAAGTTTAGAGTAGCCCAATTGACTCCACCCGACGCCACCTCTGGATAGGCTCTGGCACGTGTGCACTTCCGGATTGAGGATATGATGAATCATGCAGGCCGCCACCGGGAACGTGGGGGCGTCGGTGTTGTTCTGCACACATATGCGCTGCAGGGAGGAGGGGGAATGGGGGTTGCGGGTGTGGGGGGGAGGGTGAGGGGGGGAGGGGGGGAGGGGAGAAGAGGGGGACGAGGAGGGAGAGGGAGAGTTTGGTGTTGAGGCGCCATAAGACATGTGGAATCACAGAGGTGGCACTGGAAAGGTGGGGTTTGTGCCTACCGTCCGAGATAGTTTTAATTTGCCTGCACAAGTTGGGTCTTCAGAATCAGTTGTCCTACCATAAATGTCTAAGGGGTCTCGGAATCAGCTAACAAGCTGTTGAGGTGATCCAAGAAAATCAGTTACCCTGAGGAGGGGTTACACTTTATCAAAATTGGTTAACAAGCTGTTGAGGTGATCTAAAGAGGAACAAACAAGACTTAGCATTTCGCTTCTATCTCTCGGCTATACATTACCTACAAGTGCAATAGAAAAAGGCAAATGCTGGATAATGTGGCATGGTACAATTGCCGTGGTAGCGCTTGTTAACATGAGTGGCAAAAAGAGCTAAGATCAGCACAAGAGGAAGTATCAAGAGACTGGAACGGAAAGGGATTGGAATGGGATTGGCAAGGGATCTAACCTTTCCAGGTACAAGAGGTTGTGAGCAGTCAATGTTACGGTTTAAGTTTGTTATGTTGGTGTCAAGGAGGCTGTTGATTGACTTACATGTGTCACCCTGGGGTGGGTGGGGTGTGGGGGGGGGAGGGGGGGGAGGAGGGGGGGAGGGGGAGGGGGGGCGTGTATGTGAGAGTGAGATGGAGAGTGGGGGAGATGCGAAGTCAATAACACGATTCCGGTCCGACAAGTTGGGATTTGAGAGGTGTTTGGTGGGGTGTACGTGACACTGCGGTCCAAATAAGTTGCGGTGCGCGTTGGTCCAGGATTGTGTGACGAAAGGGTGTGTGTGTGTGTGTGATGGGCGGGGGGAAGGAGAAGTTGCAGGGAGTTGAGACGACATGGAGGAACCCCACGAGTCTTCAGTTCATGTCTTCGAATTTTCAAATGTGTCGGTCTGTTCATCAACGCGAATGTGTCACTCTAGGGGGTGTGAGAGGGGCTGGAATGGAAGGGTGGATGGGCATGAGTCAGATCAGAGTGTATGAGAAAGAAGAAAGGCAGCTGGTAAAAAAGCACTAATCAGTCCTTTGACAAACAACCGACCGTGTCTTGCCCTCACCAGACACAACCATGGCCTCACCTGGTTGGTGGTATACATGCTGCTGCAGCTCTTGTTGGCAGATGCCGACACGTTGACTATCAAATCACGCGGTATGGGCTTGTCACATGCCATGCCCTGCCAATCAAAAGAGCCACAAAAAAGAACAATGCAACGTAATGCCACTTGATAGATTTCATGAGAAAGCCGAAACATAGCATCGTCAATAAAGCGAACGACCATTCACACGCGGGTGAAGCACGTGCAAAGAGAGTCGCGCCAGAGAAAGCCTTCAATGAAGCAAATGGGCATTCATACAATACGAAAGTGAGGCACACAGGTCTCGGGATCCAAAACATGAAGAGCCCGTGAATTTGATTTAGTGTTTCTACCAAGATGGGGAGAAGACAATTTCATTTCACAATTTTCACAGTATTAGTAATAGTAATAATGATAAATAAATTAAAAAAAAAAAACTCCATTGGAGAGTGAGGAAAAAAAAAAAATAGTAAGGCAATATGTAGGAGTGCAAACAATCCGCTATTTATGCCGATTTGGCTTAGCATAAAGAAGCATTAAGATCCTTTAAAAAGAGTAACAGTTTCCAAACAACACAATCAGTCTGTGAACCATATTGGTGAAGTACATTATTTTCCAGAACATACATGATGGTGAAGTACCAATTTCTTGACTTGCAGCCGTTTTGATTCTATTCTTTGCTCTTTAAGCTCCTGTGCTTCTCAATCGGCAGTACACAAATTGTATATGGACCTATTGTAACAAACAAGAAGCGGCTCGGAAAATTTGGCAACAAAAGGAGTGTTCAGCAGCTCATCGATACAAGAGTGCTTTTATCACCACGCCTCCACTCATCACCATGCCTCACCTGGTTGCTCTCCAGCAGCTCTTGAGGTGAGAGGTCAAAGATGTCGAGCAGCAGAGGGCATGTGAGGCCGGGGGGCGCTGGGAAGAATGGCATTCGAGTGGCGGACTCACGCACTGGTGGACAGCGGGAAGAAGGGGAGATGGAGTGGGAGAGGGGAGAGTGGAGAGGGAGAGGGGACAGAGGGCAGACGCAGACGGGGATAAGGGGGGTAGAGGGAGGAGAGAGGGGGCCAATGGACAGGGGGGGGAAGAGGGAGGAGAGAGGGGGACAGTGGGCAGAGGGGGGGGGAGTGAAGAGAGAGGCGACGGAGTGAAGCGCAGAGTTGAAAGCCGTGAAACAACAGAGGGCGTGTTGCCACTAAACCCCCCTCCCTCTCCTCCCCCCCTTTTCCCCCATCTTTCCCCCTTCATTTCCCCCTCCCCCCCTCGCCTCACTAGCTCTCCCCTATTTTTAACCTACCCGCCCTAGCGTTCCATTAGCATCTCAAATAGACGCTAAGCATGACGCAAGTGCACATAAGTTACAGAGTCTACTCACGAGGTCAGCACAGCACTCACGACGAGTGTCAACAATGCTTGTGCATCAGCTTTCAAGCAAAAGCAGCCATCGTTGTATGTAACCATCAAATCACATGTCAGGTCAGCCGCACAGGTGCGTGGGTGCTGCAGGTGACGGCAACAGGCAGGCAACATTGCTACAAGTTTGCCTCACCAACTTTCCCTTACAGTTACGTTTCAGGAGCCTTGGGAGTCGGTTCCAGCAAGGTTGAAGATTAAATTAATAAATTCAGGGATAACAAGCAAGGCGAATAGAATCAGGCCAACGTGCCTCAGTTTATTGCTTCCTGCAGTAAAAGAGATTCACTCGAGTCGAGGTAGGGTTTACTTGGTCAAGTCGAGAAAGTAAATTCATGGAGTGAGAGAGATTAGTCTACGGTCTACCTTGGTTACAGGGCTGCCTCAGGGGGTTAGAGAAGTCGAGGGGGAAGAAGGAGGGCGGGCAGAGGCAGAAGGAGGAGGCATCATAGCCCTCAAGGCACACGCCAGGCGCACAGATGTCAGTGCTGTTAAGGCGGCATATGGGGAACTCTGAAAAGGTAGTAAGTGGGAAGAGAGGGGGTGTAGAGAGATTACAGGCAGGAAGTCAGCAATTAGATGGTAGTTACGAACTAAATGGATGATGGGGAAGTTCAGGTGTATGATTGTGGAAATTTAGAGTACAAGGAAGCTGAGGGAGCTTATAAATGGGGTGGTTGAGATTGAGAGGGCAAGGGCATGTGTGTTAGGCTGTAACGACAAATATGAAACGATCCAGCGTAATGTACCGTTGACTGGTTGTATGATGCTGTCGAATCTGTTAAACCGATGTGGCACAACTGCGAGGGCTTGCAGCTGGACTGGCTGAATTACGAAGGCAAGAGCACGTGTGAAGGCAGAGAGTGAGCGCGCATGAGAGTCAACACTTCTACATGCGTGATGCTGTGCCGTGCGGACTTACCATTCTGACACGTTTGGAAGGCGGGCATTTGGGGGAGCTTGTAGCTGGGCTGGCTGAGAGGGCACGAGCACGTGCTGGTGTATGTGCCAGTGGCTGCTGACCTCACCGCAATACACCTGCCAGCACCGCATGGATTCACGTCCCATGCCGTGCACGGGTTGACGTCTGTGTGGCATGTAGAGAGAGGAGAGACAAGGGGAGGATGATTGAAGAAATAGAGGGGAGCAGGGCTGAAGAAAGGAGAGGGAAGGACTTGAAAACATGACAAAAAAATAGGATAAAAAAATGCGAGTTGAGTGGAACAACAATGGATGCATCACTCGCATTTAACTATTCAAACAGATACATAAATTCTGTGGTGAAGGCAAGCTCAATCATCTGCAATGCATGCTTGATCTAGAATCACCGGCATCCTTGGTCATAGATGTGGCACATGGATGGAACCAAATCAAGTGTGGACATGCACACAGGACACAGATGCACTTGAAGCAAAAGGATGTGCACATTTACAAACACGAGCACGGCACACTCAACCAACCCTTCATACGAACCTGTGAATCGGAAGGTCCATGCTTTGATGGACTGAACACATGCCTGCGTGCTAGCACTGCTGAACCCAGCAAACACCGGAATCACTCCTTCAGTAGCACCAGAACTGCTGTTGCTGCTGATGCTGTTGGTGCCACTCTTCCCATCATCGAACACAGAGCACAAGTCAAGAGTTAGCTTCACACTCCCCATCCTCGTAGCCCCTTTATAAGTCACTGCCGCTAGAGTCTTAGAGGCAGCCGTATAGTCCACCCTCATACTGTACAGCGAGGAAGTGTATCGCTTCTGAGAGGAAAACGCCAGCCGCTGAGTCACGTTAAAGTCAGTGTGAACGGAGAGAATCGCCACATCCTTGTTAACGTCATGGTTAGGGTCAAGCCAGCTAAAGGCATCAAACATCACCGCCACACTCCTCCCTCCGTCCGCCCACGTCCCATTCGCATCCCTCTCTTGCTCATCCCTCCCATACCCCATTGCCGCCCCTCCTTGTCCCACCCCCGGACGAGTAGTTAGCACAAAAGTTACTCCAAACCCAAAAAAGCCGCTTCCCTTGAGCTCAAAGGGAAACCACGAGGTGAAGGATCGAGCCTTGCACACCAGTGCACCAGTCTTTCCGCCCTTGTTCCTCCCCTTGCGAGGGGGAGGAGGGGGGAGGAGCGAGAGCAGGGGCAGGGGGAGGGGGAAGAAGGCAGCGCCTGACTCCTGGTCCTGGTTGCCTGGGGTGAGTTGCAGCGAGGAGAAGCCGAGGCGAGCTGCACCCGAGGCAGTGAAGGGTGCGGCTGGCGTGAGGAAGGGCAAGGAGAGCGACGGCGGCTGCCACAGGGGGAGAGGTGCCGGCGCTGAGGTGGGTGAGTAGGGTGGTTTAGGAGAAAGGAAGGAGGGGAGGAGGGAAACACAGAGGGAAAGAGAGTAAATCGGTTAGCTCAAGAAGTGAGAAACTGGGATTTGGGAAGAGGGAGGTTGAAGAAGGGAGACAACCACCCCCACATGCATAGTAGGCGGCATGAGCACGGACCAGGCCGAGGGCCACCTGCCCGGACCGTGCCGGCCCGACTTTCTTGGAAAGTCGCCCCAACGCAGGCCAGGCCCGAATCGGCCCGCCCAGCCCGAACCCCTACAAATCGGTCCGAGCCGGTCCGGTCTGGTTTGAACCGGTCCGGTCCGGTGGCCACGCGGACAAGTCGTGCGTGGTAACAGTGTAAGTAGAAGAAACGTCAAGTCAACAGCCTGTGCGCCCCTCTGTTTCCTACCAGCTCGCGCGACCCTTGAGCCCCGATCCAGGCCGCATACGGTTGTTTGCCGCATACCCTTGAGCCCCGACCCAGCCCGGCCCGTGGCTAGCCCGACAAGAGGGCCGTCGCAGGTTCGTTCTCTCTTGGCTCTCTCTTGGCTCTCTCTTGGCTCTCTCTTGGATTGATGCAACCCCCCCTCCTCGCCCTCCTCAACTGCGCTGCCGCTCCCCCAGCAACTGCCCTGCCTCCTGGCAAACCAACCTACCTCCCTCTCACCTTTGGAGTCCACCTGGAAGGCCCAGGAGAGAATGTCGTGCGTCTGAGTGTGCAGCGGCAGCAGCCCCGTGCCGGCTGCAAACCCCACATGCACCAACACGGCCTCCCCCTCCCCTCCGTCCTCCTTCGGAGCATTGTGAAAGAGGTCGCAGGCGTTGAAGGGGAGGGAGAGGAGGGCGGAGGGTGGCATGGCGGGCGAGGAGGAGAGGCGCACGGAGAGCAGCGAGGCGGTGGCGTTGTAGGCCACCCACGCATGCAGCGTCTCGTTCTTGTTGCCGCCCAGCGAGGCCATGCCCGCGGGGTGCACGGACACATGGCCTGCTGACGTCATGCTGTAATCCACGTTGATCCCCACATGGTGAGTGGTTGGATCCACAAATAAACGATTTGATGATGTGTCAAACTCCACTGCTAGGCTGTGCTGATGTGGCAGGCTTCTGTTGAAGGTGATACCACTGGAGCTGCTACTGCTGCCAGTCGTAGTGCATGTAATGGCCCCATTCGCTATCACACACTCTTCTTCTTCCCCCACCACCGCATCCCCCCCTTCCACACCCACAAAAAACTCTTCCTGCCTGTGAGGCCTTCTGCCGTATCCCATGTTTGGCCCGGGCAGGCCGAGGGTCGGGTCGGGCAGGAAAACGAAAGCAAAGCCGTCGGCCCCGAGAGCAGCAGCGGATTGGGGGGAGGAGAGGCGGAAGGAGAAGGAGGAGGAGAAGGAGTAGGGGCGGCAGGGGGAGGTGGGGGAGGCGGGGGAGACGAGGGGGAAGGGCGTGGGGTGCAGGGCAAGGCCCGCTTGATGGGGGGGAGAGAGAGGGGTGAGGCGCAGCGAGGAGGGGAGGAGGCGGGCCGAGCAGGAGGTGAGGAGGGGAGAGGAGGAGGTCAACGGGGAGTAGGAGAAGGACGGAGGGGAGGAGGCCGCTGAGATTCAAGGGGAGGAGGGAGGGACAAAAAGGGAGAAGGGAAAGGAGGAGTGAGCAACATAGACAATGTGAAAGACACCGAGGTATGTAACCAACCAAAGACATACACCAAGGTATGTAACCGCATGAAACAAGGTATGCGACCTCATGAAACAAGGTATGCAACCTCATGATGAAACAAGGTATGTAACCTCAAGAAACAAGGTATGTAACCTCATGAAACAAGGTATGTAACCTCATGAAACAAGGTAAACAAGGTATGTAACCTCATGAAACAAGGTACACAGAGAGGTGACTCATCCAAGCATTGTCCGTGGTGCGCGCATCGACTGAACAGAAGTGTCTCGTGTTGATGCGCACCTGTGCCTCTGTGCGCACCTGTGCCTCTGAGCGCACCTGTGCCTCTGAGCGCACCTGTGCCTCTGAGCGCACCTGTGCCTCTGTGCGCACCTGTGCCTCTGTGCGCACCTGTACCTCTGTGCGCACCTGTGCCTCTGTGCGCACCTGTGCCTCTGTGCGCACCTGTGCCTCGGGGAGCCACAGTGACCAGGTCGATGTCGATGTTCCCTGCTGCCGCTGCAGCGGACGTGAGCGCTCCGCCTTCCACTGCTCCTGCCTCTGCAGCCAATGGAACAGCTCCTGACGCGGACGCATCTCCACTCACAGGCGCACCCCCAGGCACGGAAGCACCCCCAGTCTCAGGCACACCCCCAGTCTCAGGCACAACCCCAGGCACGGACCCACTCCCTGGCACGGACCCACCCCCTGGCACGGATCCACCCCCTGGCACGGACCCACCCCCTGGCACGGACCCACCCCCTGGCACGGACGTATCTCCGGGAGGGGGCACCCAAATGGTACCACCAGACCCCATGCCGCTGGTGTCCACCCCACTGCCCTCCAGCAGCACGACGTGCAGCGCAACGCCTTGCGGCGGGAAGGATAGCGCAGCGGCGGAGGCGGAGGAGGGTGGGAGGTGGAAGGAGTAGGGCCCGTGCTGGCGCCAGGGCATGAGGTTCGAGAGAGAGTAGGAGTTGTTGTTGAGGCAGGGAACGCCGATGGTCCATTGATGCAGCACCATCATCTCTCCGCTGCTCATAGCGGCTGCTAGCGCCCTGGCCAGATCACCCTCGTCCACGCTGCTGCTGCTGCTGCTGCTAGTGGCTGGTGGTGGTGGCAGGGGCACGGCGACAATCATTGCTCGCATCGGCCAAAATCCCAAGAGAGAACCCAAGTCAAACGTGCACTCGCGTGCCCTCGCATGAAAATACAGCGAAAACTCCCCCTGCTGCTCCTGCTGCGGCTGCTCTCCCCCTTCCACGACACACAGCAGCTGCCCCACTCCCTGCACCGGCCACACTGCCCCTTCCCTCTCGCTCGCCCCGCTGCCCCAAAGCTCGCCACCGGTGCCGCCACTGCCGTCGCTGGGCTGCAGGCGAACGAACCGACCGCCCTCAGCAGCAACGGACGGGTCCCCGGGAGGAGTCTCCCCTCCCCCTCCCCCTTCCCCCGTTACCGCCCCCGCCACCTGCCCCTGCTGCGCAGCTGTGCCGAGAAAGAGCGGCACCCAGGACGACAGGGGCGAGGGCCAGTCTGCTGCAGTGGAACCTTCTTCGAAGCCCGCATTGCGCAGGAGGTTCAAAGAGGGAGCTGGGAGGGGGAGGAGGGGGGGGTGGGGTCGGGGGGGAGAGGAAGGGAGGGGGGGGGGGGGGGGGGGGGGGGGTTGGAGGGGATTCCAATAAGGGGAGCGGGAAATGTGACGAGGGATCGAAGTGCAGCTATGGGGGCTGGGGCAATCAACGAACGAACGGGGGAGAGGGAGAGGGATCAGGAGCGAGGGGGGAGAGGTGACAGATATATGACAGGGGAGGTGGGGAGGAGCAATTGGGGGGAAGGCAGCAGAGCTGGGTTAGGCGGGAGTTAGTGCAGCGGAGAGTAGTGCAGCAGAGCAGCTGGACCGGGCGGGGGTTAGAGCGGAGGGCGTTAGAGGCGAAAGGCGGCAATGGAAGGCAGAAGAGACGCCTGTGCGATGCGGTGACCGCCGCTTGCACAGGCCGCCGTTCGCTGCTGCTGGCGTACCGGTTGGTTCGGAATGTGAACATTTTCTGGCGTCGTCGACGGAAAGCTGGGTGAGATCGCGGCGATTTCCTCATCGCAGTGCTGAATGATTGGTTACAACGGGGGATTGCTACGATCGGATCAACACATTCGAACTCCCCGCGGTCTCTTGGATCTGCAGACTTCCGCGAGGCACGCGCCGTGTTTTGGGAGGCTGGCTGCGAGATACCTTTTGACGTCGCGGAATCAATACCTTGAGCTGCGAGGCTGGCGCATGTCGGCACGGCGGCGTTGGCGACGGCGACGAACGAGAGGAAGTGCGCGGTTACCACAAGCAGGCAAAGAACGATTACGCGGCCTGGACTCCTGATGCCAGCCTGCCAAGTGGAGCCATGTTTCGGATTTGTGACAATGAGCACGGACGCAGCAAGTGATTCACTACAGAGTGGCCCATTAAGAATAGCGGTTGGTCGGGTCGCATATGGCATGGAGGGAATTGCCGCGAGAGCGCGCGGCGATTGCGAGGAAAGGGGAGAAGGAGCGAGGCTTGAGGTGATGGCAGCATCGCGTGGCAATAGAAAAATACTATGACGTCTGTGGTTTCAGTAATAAATCACCTCCCCATCCCTGTCCTCTATCTAACAACCCTAACAAGCCACGGCCAAGCCAAGCCGGAACAAGTTCAGGACGGCGCCACATACGGCTGGGAGCATTCCAGCTCAAACCCTAATCACACAGGACCACGCATGTATCTCACGAAAATGCACCAAACTGTTCTTCACCTCTCTGAACTTCGAAATCAGAGCGTTGTTGAAACCTCATTGTCAAGTGGATGGCAGCAGGTATGAGTTGCAACTTGCGATTTATGGGACTGGACGGGGCGGTTGGGTGGGTGGGAAAGGGAGGGAAAGGGTTTGCTTGCGGCAGAGTGCTCAACTGCCGCGCGTATCACGTGAATGTGGGGAGGGGAGAGTTTGGTTGGGATGGCACCTCCCACCCAACTTATGCACAGACGGATTTTATCCGAAGTTGGAATTGGTTACACCCGAACAACGCCCACAGTCCAAATCGAATGCCCTGAACATTCCGGGACACTTTCTGATCAGCTCGACTGTTTCAAGTGTTATAGCGCATTCTCAAGTTTGTCCACCAGCTCGTTTTTTCGAAGATGATGGCGCCTTTGGTGGGAACACTCCCATCCTGACCACCAAACCTCATTTTAGCGGGCGACAGATGTCGCCAGCGTCGCATGTCCGGTATTCAATGAAATTGACGCGCCAGCTCGAGAGAATTGCTCCAGTGCCTTGTTTGGTGATTCGCTCTTGCCCACGTGTCCCCGAATTGCTCGAGTGGCCATCCAATTCCGTGATAATTGCTCGAGTGGCCATGCCAGGGCATTTTCGAGGTGTTTTTTTTCCCTGGCACATAACCCTACAAGGGTTCATACCCCCGAAATTCCTCGTTCGCACAACAGTAGATGCGCGGTCATTTTCGGCCCAATGCGCGACCAATTTGCGCGCGGACAATTACATCAGCGATCATAAACTGCAACGCCAGAGCATAAATGCACGAACATATTATTGACCGCGCACGATTGGTCGATAATATGCTTCTTGCCCTTTTTGGCAATGCGCGTCCAATCACGCACGGTCATATAATTCACGACCATATATTTAGGCGATAAAGGGTCGCCCAACAACCAATATGAGCGCGCATATACTACCATTAGTTCTATTATATTTTCGGTCCATATAAATGTCAGAATGTTATATTTGTCTAGCCTGCAGTGGGGTACTCAATAGTGAGTACAGCCCAATCTAGGGTTTCCTATATGTACTCAACTGCTTGCTCGTGCATTCATTCTCACTTAATCATTCCTGTTTAATTCTTCACATGGTATAGAGCTCGTTCCCTACTGGGACCGATCCTTCCTAGGGCCCACCACTTCGCTAAACTTTTTTTTTTCTGCCCTGCCCTTAGCGCGTTTCGCGCTCTGCCCTGCTGCCCGTCGCGGCCCTTCGTGGCCCCTTCGTGGCCCCTTCGCGACCCCGTCGCGGCCCTGTCGCGGCCCCTTCACGGCCCCTTCGTGGCCCCTTCGCAACCCCGTCGCGGCCCCTTCACGGCCCCGTCGCGGCCCCGTCGCGGCCCCTTCACGGCCCCGTCGCGGCCACGTCGCGACCCCGTCGCGGCCCCTTCACGGCCCCGTCGCGACCCCGTCGAGGCCCCGTCGCGGCCCCCCGTAGCGGCCCCCCGTCGCGGCCCCCCGTCGCGGCCCCCCGTCGCGGCCCCGCCCCGGCCCTGCCCCGGCCCTGCCCCGGACCTGCCCCGGACCTGCCCCGGCCCTGCCCCGACCCTGTCCCGGCCCTGTCCCGGACCTGTCGTGGACCTGCCCCGACCCTGTCGCGGCCCTGTCGCGGCCCTGCCCCGGCCATGCCCCGACCCTACCCTGGCCCCGCCCCGGCCATTCCTGTCGCGGAGCACCGGGGGCCCGCGTACCGCCCCCCCCGCGGCCCCCCCCCAGGTCGCCACGAAAGGCGACGGGAGGGGCGACCTGGGGGGCCGCACGTTGCCCCCCCCCCCCCCCCCTCAGGTCGCCTCACCAGGCGACGGGAGGGGCGACCTGGGGGGGGGGGCCACGCGTCGGAGCAGCCGCCCCTGGTGCAGCCGCCCCTGGAGCAGCCGCCCCTGGTGCAGCCGCCCCTGGTGCAGCCGCCCCTGGTGCAGCCGCCCCTGGTGCAGCCGCCCCTGGAGCAGCACCCCCCCCCCCATGCACAGCACCCCTCCCCATCCCCCTGGAGCGGATGCGGCAGTGGGGGGAGGGGACCTGCAGCACCTGCCTGCCCCCCCCCGCCCCCCCCCCCCGTCACCTCCCTACCCGCCATCCCGCCCTGCCTTGTGTTAGGGTTTGGGGGTGGCGAGTAGGGGGTGGCGGGTGTGTGG